CTCTATGTTTTGATTGATGGGTAAGTGGGATGAGCTGAGAGTTTATTTATAGGGTGAAGGTGATGGCGTGGCATCTAATGTGGCGGTGACTGGACACACAATTGCCACGTTAGTTTTTTTATTTTTATTTATTTATTTATTTTTTTAAATGGCAAGACACTTCAAAGAACACAACAAATTGGAAGAGTAAATGCTTCTAGGGCAAATCCAAGTAAGTTATTAAGCTCAGTAAACATAATGCCATATGGGAATTGTAGTGCTTTATGGATGATAATGTTTAAAATTGTACTATGGTCAATTATTCCACACTCGTACAGAAGAAAAAATAATTGTTCCTTATCATGTTAAAATAATTAAAGAAATATAAAGAAAGGAAAGTGCTAGTCAATTAAAAAAAAATGTTAAACATATAGAAAATTAATGTTCAAACTTCAAAGTCTATAAAATATAAAATATTATCATGCATTACCTTCTCTCGGCCCATTGCATAACTAACATTCTCTCTATCTTTAGCTGTTTTCTTAATTTTGTAACGAAAATGATTAAGTACTTGAAAAAGAAAGAATTTATGTCGTCGAAAAAATTATTCGGCGACATACAAACGTCGCATATTATTCGCAGAGTTGGTGCATTATAAGTTTTTTTCGTAGAATATTTTTTATTTCTTTCATCTTTCAGTTATCCGATGGGGTATGCGAATTGCCGCATAACGCTCGCATACCCCATTCGCAGTTCCACTCGAAAGTTTATTTTGTATTTCTGTTGTAGCAAATTATTTTTATTTTACCGAGCACCGAATCAAATGATTCGTTTCCCGGGTCGATCTCTCGAGGAAGGCGGTTCGGAATTTAAAAGTGGTATTGATAACACATAAAAGTAAAATAAATCCTACACATTCTAATCACGATAGGGTTGGAAAATTATCAACTAAGAAATAACAAAAGACGATAATCTACCTAAAAATATAAACGATAAAAAGATAAACGAGCTACGGTATCGGGAATAATTGCTTCGGGTTCTACACACATTTAACGGCAATCAATAACTCGGTTAAATGGTTCGACTAATTAACTCATTTAGTGGTTTAACCTCACTAACTCTCGTAATATGAGGATAAACATAAAAGAGCAAATTAACGAAACAATTAACACATAGACAATACGTCTCCGACCATCTCTACTCTAAACGAGCCAAATTCCACCAATTTCTCCCCTCTCGGTTTTGAAATTAATTATCTCTACGACTCCTCCACTTTCGGTTCTACAAGTCGCAATTCGATTAGAAGGTGTTTAATCAACTAATTATGTAAAACCAACAAACTCTAACTTAATAAATCAATATTCAATCGTGCAATATCGAAGTGTCACTCTTCGATTATATCAATAAATTTTCCTAAGTGTGACTCTTAGGTTATATCAAAATATCAAGCATGAGTTTATCAATTCTCAATTAAAGCAACTCGCAACGATTGAGCTATCGTCATGCACATAAACGAGAACGAAACAAAATGATTATCCCTTAACCCTAGCTAGAGGATTAGCCACACATTGCAATTTCAACACAAGAATTCAAATCAATTAAAGCCATCATCATCATCATCAAAACGATGAAAAAGAGAACTTACTATTAATATGAACTCCAATGTCAATAACAAGTACAAGCCAAATCCAAATGCCAAAAGTCTTGAAAATGTTCTTCTTCAAACTTGCAAAACCAAAGAAAACTTAAGAGAAAAGTGGATAGAAGAGAGGGAGAACCCCTCTATGGGATGGTTCTTTTTTCTTCAAAACCTTGCCATCTTATATAGCTATCTTCTCCCCTTTTTACATCCGTAAAACATTCCATAAAACATGCTAAGATGTCTCAAGATATTCAATGGCTTAAAACATGGAGGAATATCAGTTTTCAAGGGTTCATGGTCGACCAAACATGTCCAAAGTCGAGCAGTACCCCCCAACATTCCATAATTTGAGGAAAAACACACTTTTTTGCTGAAAACTGCACCTTAGCGCCGTTAAGGGGGGTTAACGGCGCTAAGGAATGAAGGCTGGTAGCCTCTAGCGTCGCTAACATTTCATAACGCCGCTAAGGAGAGGCTTAGCGCCGCTAAGGCTTGGGCAGCGCGACTTTGCGTTTTAGGCTCGTTTGGGCTCGTCCGAACTCGGAATTGAGTTCAGTTTTTTCCTACGTATCTCTAACGAACCCCTCTATTCAATGATGCTTGAATGGCAAAATTAATCCTGAAATCCAATTCTCCCAAAGCTTATGACCAGCACACTAAAGACGTGCTTCGCGCGATTTCGCATTTTGGGCCCGTTCGGACTCGTCCAAGCTCGAAATTGAGCTCCGCTTCTTTCTATATGTCGCCAACGAACACATCTACACAACCATGATTGGTCGGTCGATTTTCGGGCTACATTTATTCCTCACGGGGCTTCTGACCTGCACACCAAAAACAAGAAGAAAAACGTAGAAAACCGAAAAAATATACGAAAAACACATAAAAGGCCAAAATGCGACTGTTCTGCGACGAGTATGCGGAGATTCGATGTACGATTTGGTTAATCGCGGTCTGTCTCCCATTAAACAATTATTATTGTTAGGCGAATGAATCTGCGACTATTAGTCGAAAAAATTATTCTGCGACATACCAACGTCGCATATTATTCGCAGAGTTGGTGCATTATAAGTTTTTTTCGTAGAATATTTTTTATTTTTTCATCTTTCAGTATCCGATGGGGTATGCGCATTGCCGCATATCGCTCGCATACCCCATTCGCACTTCTACTAAAGTTTATTTTGTATTTCTGTTGTAGCAAATTATTTTTATTTTATCGAGCACCGAATCAAATGATTCATTTCCCGGGTTGATCTCTCGAGGAAGGCGGTTCGGAATTTAAAAGTGGTATTGATAACACATAAAAGTAAAATAAATCCTACACATTCTAATCACGATAGGGTTGGAAAATTATCAACTAAGAAATAACAAAAGACGATAATCTACCTAAAAATATAAACGATAAAAAGATAAACGAGCTACGGTATCGGGAATAATTGCTTCGGGTTCTACACACATTTAACGGCAATCAATAACTCGGTTAAATGGTTCGGCTAATTAACTCATTTAGTGGTTTAACCTCACTAACTCTCGTAATATGAGGATAAACATAAAAGAGCAAATTAACGAAACAATTAACACATAGACAATACGTCTCCGACCATGTCTACTCTAAACGAGCCAAATTCCACCAATTTCTCCCCTCTCGGTTTTGAAATCGATTATCTCTACGACTTCTCCACTTTCGGTTCTACAAGTCGCAATTCGATTAGAAGGTGTTTAATCAACTAATTATGTAAAACTAACAAACTCTAACTTAATAAATCAATTTCAATCATGCAATATCGAAGTGTCACTCTTCGATTATATCAATAAATTTTCCTAAGCGTGACTCTTAGATTATATCGAAATATCAAGCATGAGTTTATCAATTCTCAATTAAAGCAACTCGCAACGATTGAGCTATCCTCATGCACATAAACGAGAACGAACCGAAATGATTATCCCTTAACCCTAGCTAGAGGATTAGCCACACATTGCAATTTCAACACAAGAATTCAAATCAATTAAAGCCATCATCATCATCATCAAAACAATGAAAAAGAGAACTTACTATTAAATTGAACTCAAATGTCAATAACAAGTACAAGCCAAATCCAAATGCCAAAAGTCTTGAAAATGTTCTTCTTCAAACTTGCAAAACCAAAGAAAACTTAAGAGAAAAGTGGATAGAAGAGAGGGAGAACCCCTCTATGGAGTTGTTCTTTTTTCTTCAAAACCTTGCCATCTTATATAGCTATCTTCTCCCCTTTTTCCATCCGTAAAACATTCCATAAAACATGCTAAGATGTCTCAAGATGTTAAATGGCTCAAAACATGGAGGAGTGGCTCAAAACATGGAGGAATATCAGTTTTCAAGGGTCCATGGTCG